ACCGTCACCAGCGTCTCATAAACACCTGGAGGGACACCAGGACTTGGGGCTGAGTTCCTGTTATTGTTTAAGGGAAAATTCACATTTATTCTCTCAGCTGACTGGGAATCTGGAGAGTAAAAATAAAATTAAAGTGCCAAGCCAGGTATGGTCATGTAGGCCTTTAATGCCAGTACCTCGGGAGGCAGATTCGGACAGCTCTCTTGGAGCTGAAGGCCAGTCTGCTCTATGTAGTGAGTCTTAGGCCAGTCTAAATGTCTTATTCAGTGTCTTATTGCTGTGAACAGACACCATGATTATGGTGACTCTCATTAGAGAAAACATTTATTTAGGGCTGGCTTACAGTTGCAGAGGGTTAATTCATTATCAGCATGGAGGGGAGCATGGAGGCGTGCAGTCAGACATGGTGTTGGAGAAGTAGCTGAGAGTTCTACAACCAGATTTTCAGACAGCAGGAAGGGAAAGAGAGGCTGGACCTGGCTTGAACACTTCCTCCATCAAGGCCACACCCACTCCAAAAAACACATCTCCTAATCCTTCTCAAGTAGCACCACTCCCTAACGACTAAGCACTTAAATAAACGAGCCTATGGGGGCCATTCTCATTCGAACCACACCAGGCTACTTAATGGGACCCTGTTAAAAAAAAACAACAAATAAAACAAAACACATAAAAGACTAGACTAAAAATAAAGCACCAGAATTTTTTTTAAATTAAAACTGCACGGGTCAAGGGTGACTCCTTAAGGCTGTTCATGAAGACTAGATGAGATACCAGGAGAAAAATGCTTTACATAGAGTCTAAAGACACAGGTCTGTTGTAAAATGCTTGCTTCACAAGAATGAGGACCTGATTTTGAATCTCTAAAATCCACATAAAAACCAAGCATGATGGCTCATGTCTTAACCCAGCACTGGCATTTGGAGCTAGGCTGACTGCTGGAGCATGGGCTAATCAGCTTAGCCCTGTTGAGCAGCTCCAGTTTCAGTGAAAACGCTGTCTCAAAAAATAAGGAGTTGGAGAGTAATTGAGAAAGAGATTTGATGTTGACCATTGACATCCACACTTGCATGTATAGATGCAAGTTTATGTACATATACACATGTGCACCTGCCACATTTGTACACACACATGGACATGCCTGCCCCCCACACACACCACAAACCATAAAAACAAAATGATAGCCCTCCAAGCAGGGCTTGGGCATATAGGGTAGTGTTAGTATTGCTACTGGTAGCAAAAGTAATACCAACCTAAAATAGGGCCATTATATTCTCAGCTGTCCTAGGGGAGGAAGTGGAAGTTTGCTATTCCATTTGGTCTTCTCTGTAAGAAGATAGGCGCCCAAAGCTTTGCAGACAATTCTAAGGGGTGTATGCTCTCAGAGGGGGGTTTTGACAATCGCCAGCACCAACATTATTGCAGCCTCACTGTGTGCATGAGGAGCAGCTGTGCAGACTCCATTTCATTTCATCCTCTTGGTATAAAGGGACAAGAGAATATCACAAAAGTCCCCCAAGGTCACAGAGTCAGAAAAAGGATTGGATGGGTGTCCCAGAATGGCAGCACTGCAAGGTCCTGTGGGCGGTTAAGAGGTGGAGACAGAGGGAAGCCTGGGGTCCCTGAGGTAGGGACTTGGAAGGGACTGAAGGCTCTAGTCCCTCCACTCGCTTAATCAATCACTACCTATCCACCTATTATCTATGATTTCTACTACCTATCAATCATGTATCTATCTGTCATTATGTTCGTTACTTTTTTGTTGCTGTAATAGAACACCATGACCAAAGCACCTAACAGAAGAAGAAAGGGTTTGTTTTGGATTGTGGTTCCAAAGGGTTAGTGGTGTTACAGCAGGGGGCTGAAGCGGAGGGCTAGCATCCTTAATACAAGCATGCATCAGAAAGAGTGAATTAAAATGACTCAAAGACAATTTCTCAAAGTCTGCTTCCAGTCACACGCTTCCTTCAGCAAGGCCACACTTCCTAAATCTCCAAAAAATGCCACTAACTGGAAGCCAACTGTTTAAAAGCCTGAGACTACCACAGTCATCTGTCTATCTATCTATCTATCTATCTATCTATCTATCTATCTATCTGTCTATCTATCTATCTATTTACTCTATTACCTATCTATCATCTATTTATTATATCTACCTATCATATATATCTATCATCTATCTCTACCCATCTATCATCTATCTATCTTTCTCCATCATCTATCTATCTATCATCTATCTTTCTCTATCATCTATCTATCTACCTCTATCATCTGTCATCTGTTTATTATCTATTATCTATCTACCTATCTATCATATATATCTGTCTGTCTGTCTGTCTGTCTATCTATCTATCTATCTATCATCTATCTAGCAAAAGAGTTGAGCCAGTTTCTTTCATCGGTTTCCTATCATGGCCACCTGGTCTACCAGAGGAAGTCCTAAGCAGTAGGACCATCTAATCTTGGACCTAAACCTCCAGAACCATGAACTCAGGAAACC